AGTTTTCTTATACCCCACATGACCCAAATCATTATGTTGTTGTTTAACTAAATACAAAACTTGACTTTCCGGAACACAGAGTTTATAACCAGGTGACTCTAGAGTACCTTTTCGAAATAATATACCTTCATGCAGTTTGTACCACATTATTACTCTTTTTTCTTGGGCATTTATATTACTCAAGTCAGGTTTTTTCAAAATTTTATTTATCATTTCTATTTTTCCAAAAATCCAATTTTGATTTTGTTGGTCACATATAAGAGTTTTAATATGTTCTTTCAACGATTTATATTCACAACTTAATTTTAGCATCGACATGTCAACCTTACTATAATAATCACATTTGTCTACCTTTCGATTAACGATAGGATGTCGAGATAAGCAATCTGCCATAATATTTTCTGTTCCTTTACAATAAGTGATACGAAAATCAAACTCTTGAATATATAACATCCATCGGGTTAAACGTGAATTGCCTAATTTAGCGGTCATTAGAAATGATAAAGCCATATGATCAGTTACTATTACTAAGTCTTTTCCCAAGATCATAGTACGCCATTGCCTCAACGCGTACACGAAAGCATAAGCTTCCTTTTCTGTAATATTGTAATTAAGTTGTGGGCCTCGTAAACTTTTACTAGCAAACGCTATAAAACATTTTTTTTTTATCAATTTTATCCAGTTGGTAAAGACATGCCCCAATTCCAAAACCAGAACTATCAGTTTATAAGTAAAAGGTGTTATCTAAATCAGGATGTGACAAAACATTTGCATGCATAAAACTCTGTTTAATAGCTACTAGAGCTTTTGTTTCTGCTTCACCCCAGGACCAACCAATTCCTTTTTTAAGCAACCCTATCAATGGTTCACTTAATTCCGCAAAATTTGGACAAAAGCGTCGCTCGAAATTGATAAAACCCAAAAAACTCTTAAGTTCCTTTGTATTTCTTGGTGTTGGATAATCATAAATGGCTTGTATTCGATTAGGATGTATAGCTATATAATTGGGAGTCACTAGATGCCCCAAAAATTCAACTTCCCTACTTGCAAAAACAGACTTTCTTAATTTAATAGTCAAATTACATTCCTGCAATTTTGTAAATAACTTTTCAAGGTGAATCAAGTGGTCATTGGCATTTTTGGAAAATATTAATAGGTCATCTACGTAAATTAATACAAAATCATTGAATTCAGATCCCATTACCACATTTAAACAGCGTATAAAGCTCGCTACAGAAGTTGAAAGGCCAAACGGTAGTACTTTAAAACAGTAAATATTATAATCAAATTCAAAACCAGTATATTTCCTATCTTCTGGTCTAATTGGTACTTGCCAATATCCGGCCGTCATATCGAGGGTACTGAGAACTTGACAATTATTAAATTTAGCCAACAATTCTTGTTGGTGTGGAGGAGTGACTTGATCTTTTACCATTTTAGAATTTAGAAATCTTGCATCGAGACATATACGAACACTTTTATCTTTTTTAATTACAGTTGTTAAAGGGGATACATATTCAGTTTGACATTGTACAATAATGTCCATATCAATCATATCTTGTATTTGTTTGCGAACGAGTTCTCGATAAGCAAATGGTACAGGATATGACTTTTTATAAAACGGTGACTTGTCACGCATTTCTATTTTATGTTCATTTTTATCAGTTCGACCGGGACTTTCCGAAAAAATATTTTTAAAATGCCTTAGTAGATCTTATAGCCTTTTTTTTCAAATTCGTCAAAATTATCTGCATTTTTTAACACTTCCATTAGTTCATTTTCAGTATATTCACATGACGTTTAGCAGCACTAACCGTATCATCAATAAAATTTATCGTGATAGATTTTTCATTGGCACTTTCTAGTTCGAACCTAACTTTTGAAATATTACCTTCATCTCCTATTGGTAAGGATAAATTAGCAAAATCTATTAAAACTTTCTCATTTATCATCCAGTCAGCACCCAATATAATATTTTTGTTTAGTTTTGGAACAATAATACAAATAATATTAAACTCTTTACCCCCCACTTCAATAGGCAATAATATTTGTTCAGACACTTTTTGTTTCTTTGCACCTACAGCAACTGAAATTACGGTATTGCTTATTGGTAATATAGGAAAGTTTATACCTTGACATTTTAATAAATTTGCAAATTCTTCAGAAACTGCAGAAACTTGGCTACCCGTATCTAATAAAATTTCATATCTTTTTTCATAAATTTAACCCGAGATTACAGGTGAACAGAAATGTTCCACTGGCTCATCTCCTTCGCTATCTGATACCAAATCACCATAGTCAAATTTAATAATAACCATCGTCGACCGATTATTATTACTATTCTCACCTCTATTTCCCTAATTACGTGTCTGATTACTTTCCCTACTACTAGCACCAGCTCTCCTCTGTATATCATCATTACTGTCCAAACTATGTTGTCTCCAGGGACCTCTATCTCCCGGTTCAGTTTCGTCAATTTTCTTTAAAAAATGCTCTAGTTCGTTTACTGTTTTGATTCCCGTTATAAAAATTCCCCTCTGTATTTCGTAAGGAAAATGTTGTGCCAACCATTCAACTAAAACAGACTCACTAATTTATTCAGTTAAATACATTGTTTTTCCAGCTAATTTTAACACATAATCAGCTCTGCTGCCCCTTCTATACTGACCATACTTGAGTTCATAGAACAGCTCCCTTTCCTCAGTAACCCCCCAATAACGTTTTCGAAAAGCCAACAAAAACTCATCTAAATTATTAAAATGTCCTTCTTTTGTTGCCACCCAATCTGCTGCTGACCCACGTAAACAATCTATTGCTAAATTTACTTGTAAATGCTCAGGTATCATTGCTTCATTTATCAAATGTCGCAGTGAAAAGACTAAATTACACCCACCTCGATCCTTCCAAGATGACAGATTCTTTTGCTTGGAAAAAATGCTCCTCATGCCTCATCTGCTTGTTTTGCGCCGCTACTTGATTCGTATCCGTTCCTTCACCTCCAACAGTAGATAGCATTTCCTTATTTTTAGCCACTTCAGTTGTTAATTTGGCCACACTATCGGCCAATGACTCAACCAATTTCCTTAAACTCATACTGGGACTAATAATTCCATCCAAATCTTTATCCACACTAATACACTTTGTATTTCGCTTGGGCATTTTTAAACACGACAATATACCACCATAAACTCGTAAATAATGATTCTGAATCCAGCAAACTGAATCGATTCCTTCTCAGGTCGTATTTTCTACAGTTCGAGCCCTCGTTGATGCGCCAATTTATGTGTTGCCTCGGCTAGCCAATCGGAAATAAACAACAACTGATGTCGTACTTTCTATTTTCCTTTCAAAACTGAATTACACGCTTACACATTTGGTAATTTAACAAGACAAATTAACAATAATACTCGCCAAATTGGCGCGTAGCGTATCGCGCTACCGTCTTCTTACCCCCCACAGTTACTCATTTCGCCGTTCTCACTCATCTTCTTCTTAACTTCTGACAATACACTTTACCACAAATACAACTGGGACAAGGTATTGGGCGCATCACAGAATGATTGAATCATTCTTTTGCGGGGTAGCTGTTGTTGCGGATTTGTCGGCGCGGGAAGTTCAAATGTGAAAATCTTCTTTTCTGCCATCTTGGAGTTCGTTTTATGGTAATTTTTCCATACAGGAACCAGAACATAAACTCTATTTTATCGGTACAAATTAACAAACCAAGTGGAGGTATAAATTCCAAACCGGTATGATCAACGAAATTATCTTATTTCTTTAATAATATACAACTAGTACTAGTTAGTCCCTCCTCCTAGTACGGATGCTATGCAACATCCACTCGATGGAGAAAATCATCACAATAAACCAAATGATGCCGTCATCATCACGGAAAAGTTTCGCACTCATGGACGTACGAGTATTCCGACGGGAGAATGTGCATAGCGGCGGACAAGGATCGGCAATGTTGTGCTTGTTCCCAGGCGTGCTGCGTATCGCTACGCAGACGAGCGGTCGGGACGCAGCACCCGTTCCTGAAGAAGGGAAGCGGGGTCTCCCGGAATTTTTCACTGGGCTGCTTTTCTCCCCTTCACAAGCGTCGTGCGATTGAACCGTCCAGTTCATATGACTGCCCTGCAGGGCGCGAGTAGTCATGCCTGAGAGCAGACCCGAACTAAGGCCTAGATCTTTAAGTGAGTTTATAGACTCTCCACACCGCACCCCCTTCCATGAAATGGTCGCCGAGGTGGTGGAGATTTTCTCTTCAGGGGCGTGTAGATGTTCCGACACGCCTGTGATGAGTACACTGTTGCCGGCGTACTTGGCAACCTCTGCTCGATGCATCTATCGCAATTCGACGCTCCCAGAGACCACCTGGACGTCTACTATGACGGCGAGGCTAGCCTTACCAGCGATGATGTAGTGACCCGCATACGGGACGGCAGTGAGTTACTTCTGAGCTGGTGATCTTGCACGTAGTCTGTGACCTCAATACCGGCAGCTGGTCTTATCCATCTGCTGGACTCCAGGCAGTACGCGGCCTCGCGGAGCTCGCTCTCATTATAGGAATCGTAAAATCTCCTGGCCCACAGGTGCCTAAGTTCTGATTCCTTCGGCCGCTCGCTCAGCCCTTGTTTGCGCAACAACCCCCTCGCCCACTGCAGTTCCCGAAAAATCCGGGGGCGAAAACCACCGCGCAGGCTGCGGGAAAGGAAGACGATTGCAACCCGCCCATCCTCCCTACGATCATCGAGGGAATTCCAGTGAACAAAGGGGGGACACCCTTCGGCGTCGCGGACATAGGCGTGAAAGTAGCCCGTCGGTGTATCGTTGGGCATGTTCGTACATGGCGCCGCAACTGTCTTTTCAACGCCCGAAGCCGCCCGGTATTCACCGACCCAAGGGCCAACGAGTGGTAAAACTTAGGTACGAAGCAATTCGCGAGCAGCTCCAAACGCTGTTGCAGCTCTAGCGGAACTCTTTCAATACGCTCTAGGAGCCTCTGTCGCTGGGTCCCAATCCACTAAGGTGGCGCCATTGCTTGAACACTGTGGAAGGGTGAATAAATTCGCCTCCGATCCGAAAAAAAGGCTTCACTTTCTTCTTCTTCCCCACAGGAACATACGATAATGACATGCACTTGGCAGGAGCGAATTTAAGGCTGATGCTTCCGCAAGTTGACTGTGGGTGCCTCAGTGTGACGTTCATACTAGTGCTCGAAAGCACAACCAATTCCAACAACAATAAAATATATTGCATGTGAAGGACTCTGTTTCAACTTAATGCAATATCCCATCGATAGAGAAGCCCTTTGCGAAGCACAGTTGCTTAGACACTCCGATCGTGTTCCTGTTACATGCCAATCTTCAATCGTCTTAGCCTCCGATTACAACGTCATAGAAATCGACTGTAATTATTGGTTAATTACCGTATCCGAACAACTAGTAGTCTCCATTAGATGTGGAAAATCAGACCTCGTAGCAGAGATATTGAAAACTCATTCTCTACCTATAATGCCTGCACAACGCTGATGAGTCTCAAAAAAGACGAAACTTTTTTTGCTGATTTTAGAATAATTCCTACAACAGATTGACCAAGTTGCAAAATGTGATATGTATATTTTGTAAAATTACGAATTTTGGAGTTATTATTAAAAATACATTTTATTTATTTTAGTAAGACAATTTTGCACTAATCAGGTATGTCTATCCACTTAAAATATCAAATTGGCGCTTTTTTTTGTTTTACATTTTTATTCATATTGCAGGCTGGAAAAAGTCTGTTGAGATACGTTTTAGCTATGTTCCTGACTTTTTAATTAATTTCTTTTCGCGGAGTAACCACCGATATGAAAAGAAAATGGGCGGCGAGCTCGGAAGAGCTTTAAAGTGGATTGTAGGCTTTAAAGATTTAGAAATACTACCGATCGCCAAAATGGGCCGCTAAAGAACTTTAAGGTCTCACCTTAAGCGCACGCCTCCGTCTCCTCAGCAGGCCTGCTTCCTCTTTGCTGTAAGTTTTGCTACTCAATTCGCAGAACTTACTGGTGTTACGCCACGGACAACATAAAAACGCACAACAAAAATCGTTAGAATTAAAGTTCCCTTCGCGGAAAACGCGCCAAAGATCTCGCTGCTGCCGCACACGGAATGTTAATGCACTCCCGATCGGCTTGACCCAAAAAAAACTTTAACGGCAATACAGCGGTAAAAAATGTTCCAGCAACTTAAATTTTTATTTGAGTACGCACAAAATTATTTGTCTCATCACGATTTAAACAGTCTAATAGTATTCTTTCATCAAGGAGTTATTATGTCCATTGTTACTTTGATTTTAACAGTCTAATAACATTCTCTCGTCACGAGGTTATTATGTCCATCTTCAGTTTGACTTTAATTTTAATTTAAAGTTAATAAATACATTATTTAAAAAGTCATTTTTGAAAAGTGAAATATAAAAATTGGCGCAGTCGCGGTAGGATCCGTTCATGTTGCTAGAACACGAGTATTGTCACTAGTGACGGCGGATTCCAATCCCTTAAACGGAAAGAGAACCATCGCAGCCCAGTCGTGCCGGAACAAGGAAACTTCCATCACCGTGTCGAGAGGCAGAAATTGGAGTAGGATCTGTTCACGTTGCTGGAACACGAGTATTCGAACTAGTGGCGGCAGATTCCGACCCTTAAATCGAGGGAACAACGAAGACAGCCCCATCGTACCGGAACAAGGATAAACCCATCAACCGTCTCGAAAGGCAGCAATGAAAATAGTACTGTAAGTGCTAAGAATCGTTACGAATTATTTTATTTTTAATTTGCAACATTGTTGAATTTATTACGTTCGATTACCCAAGGTTTAAAATTACCTATTTATTGAATTTCCCAACGTAGAATCGTTGCGCGATAATCATTTTGATTTAATTTTAGTCTGCAAGTTTAACTTAGCAATATTTAAAACAAAAAAATGGCGTTTGAACTCTTTTAAATTTATTTGCTTTTTCTTAAAACCCAAAACAATGGCAACTCAATAAGACGAACCTAGTACAATGCTGTAAGTTGAACCGTATAAACTTGCGGAAATTTTCTGTATCGTACCTGAATTTGAGGGTGACCAAATCTTTTTAGGAAATTTTATAAACGCGTGTGATTGTGCTTATAATATGGCAACAACGCAACAAAAAATTCTTTTGGTTATTCACATTAAAAATAATCTCCGCGGTAGAGCAGCTCAATTAATTAATTCTAGGAATCCTGATTCATATTTATCTAATGAACTCTACACTTTGGTGATTCTAGAGATTTACCTTTCCTAATTCATGACCTTCAACGTCTTAAACAATTGCCCAATGAATCGGCATTAACATTTTTCAATCTTCTTCAAGTCCTAAATGCGAAAATGCATTTGTTTTGTTAGCGCGGAAACGGACTTTGGCCGCAGCTGGCACAGCAAGAAGTCGCAAAAATTACTCAAGACAGGATCAAAAGATTTTTGATTACTTAACTGACCCTACCTCGCTTTTGGTCTTCCTTCCGGAGGGGCCGGCCCGTGCTGCGTCCTCTGTGCCTCAAGTGGTGAGGAAATTTGTTGATCACCACGCGTATGACCTGATGCGTTCAACGGCACTTTTTGAACCACACGATGAGAGCGACCGATTTAGCGCTTCACCGTGATTTTTAGTGGAGCATGCGCCTAAGGGCGCTGGCGGGTATAGATGGCCAGTTAAGTTCAAGAATTTAATACCGCGAGGAAAGGAAGAAGAATAACTTCTTGGTGCTGTACTCGCGGCCATTCGATAAGCTATTGGTTTATATATATATATATATATATATATATATATATATATATATATATATATATATATATATATATATATATATATATATATATATATATATATATATATATATATATATATATATATAAATTCATAGGAAGTCGAAAGATAATAAAATGAAAACTAAACATACCGCCCACCAAAATGCAGTAGGTATTTTCCCAAAAAAAAAAAACAAAAAAGCGGTTCCGAAAAAATGATACCCATGTTTACCTACAGTTAGAGGTTAAAAAAAAAATGAAAATTCAGAACTATACTAATAAATATTACTAATAGAAGTGCTAACATCTTGTGTGCTTTAAGCGAAAAATGTGCTTACCACGCTATTGATTTGGTAGAGGACAGAGTTTTACAACAGGTCTCTTAAAGACACCAGTCGCAGTACGAACCTTGACCACTCTGACAATGCCATCAGGGCCAGGGTAGACCTCGGCTATACGCGCAAGACGCCAGTCAAGAAGTGGAGTGTTTTCCTCCTTTAAGACCATCAATGTGCCCACATCAAGATTGGGGCGGTTGTCACATCATTTATTACGTTGATTGAGGCTTGTGAGATATTCATTATGGCATCGACGCCAGAAGTGCTGCTGCATTTGCAAGATTAGCTGCCAACGGTTTAATCTCGACATGTTTGAAGAAGTCATATCAGGGTCAGGGAGTGTCGATACTGGAGCCAACATCAAAAAATGCCCTGGTGTAATACAGCTCACGTCATTGGGATCGTTACTGACAGCGCATATGGGTCTAGAGTTAACAATTGATTCTATTTGAACCAAAACTGTATTGAGTTCTTCGTAGGTCATGATGCGGTCACCTACTACACGGACTAGGTGTTTTTTGACGCTTTTGACGCCGGCTTCCCACAAGCCACCGAAATGCGGACTAGAGGGAGGATTAAATGACCAAGAGATCTGCTCTTCTCTAGCTGCATCGGACATGATATTGGCTATGTATTTTGACGCAGAAATAAAATTCGTTCCGCAGTCGCTGTGGAGAGCAGAAGGTTTTCCTCGGCGCGCAATCATGCGTCGCAATGCGGCTAAAAATGCATCAGTTGATAAATCCGAAACTAACTCAAGGTGGATAGCACGAACTGAACAGCAGATGAAAAGACAAAGATATGCTTTTAGAGTCTTAGCACCTCGTAGCTTTGCCATGGTAATTTGAAAAGGACCTGCCATATCGACACCAACACACTGAAATGGCTTGAGTTGTGTGATGCGATAAGAGGGCAGATTGCCCATACGGGGAATATACGGTTTAGGGTTTGCTCGAAAACAGCGGTAACATTGAGACAAATTCCTCCTGATGACTCGTTTGGAAGCAATAATCCAAAAATGTTGTAACAACAAATAGGACAAAGTTTGAAAACCTGGATGCAGGTATTTATTGTGATAATGACGACTATCATATCTGTCAGTTTATGGTTTGATGGTAAGAGGGCAGGGTGTTTTTGCTCATAGGGAAGCATGGACGTAATTAGCCTTCCGCCCACCCTGAGAATACCCTGAGTATTAATTACAAGACACAACTTGCGCATAGGTTTGGAGCAAGGTAGACCTTTGGAAACAAGATGAAATTCCTGTCGAAAACATTGCTGTTGAACGATTCGAACAAAGACGAGTAATGAGTTATGTAATTCAAATTCATTCATCACTGATGTATCAACAGATTGACGTTTTATTTTCAGATCTATGAAACGCAAAACATAAGTGATAATACGAAGAGAAGAAAATCTGTCCAATAAATCCGAAAAGGGAAAGAACTTTTGTGGAAAAGTCGAGTAAACATACCTTTTTGATTCCTCTTTCCGAATATCTGGTGAGTCGAGAGTAGGAGTTGGATTTTTCGGCCATTGGTCAGACGAACGACGTAGCCACTCTGGGCCGTTCCACCACATAGAGTTGTTCAATAGCTCTTCCGGCAACATACCACGTGATGCAATATCACCTGGGTTGAGTTGTGTTGGGACAAATCTCCAAGAAGATGGAGGAAGAATATTTTGAATGTGAGATACGCGATTTGCGATATAGGTTTTCCATTTATATGGAGGCGCTCTTATCCAACCGAGAGCTACCATGGAGTCAGACCATGCGAAAATGGATTCAAAACCAACATCAGAATAACTGACTTTGATGAAAGAAATTAAATCAGCGACCAAAACTGAAGCTGATAGCTCGAGGCGAGGAAGGGAGATCCTTTTTAGTTTAGCAACTTTGGTCTTGGCTGTCACTAGCGTGGAAAATACACTGCCAGTTGAATCGCGAAAATACGCGCATGCGCCGAAACCAATTTCCGAAGCATCGCCGAAAACATGGAGTTGTAGAGACTGAAGATGTACCTGGGAATTTTTATCTGGGAAATCAAGGGTAACTGACTTTTGTATGTCAACCATCGATCGACAAGACCTTGGGTTGGAGTATCATCCCAATCTACACCCTCTGCCCACATCAATTGCATTAGATGTTTTGCAAGAAATATGCAAGGTGATATCAAGCCGTTTGGATCAAACGTACGAGCAATGGTAGAGAGAATTGATCTTTTCGTACAAGAATCGTCGGTTTGATTGACCTG